GCACACAAAGCTTCGGTGGACGCAAGCCGGACCACTCAGCAGCTTGAAGAGACCGTAGATGAGTTCCAGAAGCAGAAGTTAAAAGATATCCAGGTAATCTGTTTAGCAGCTGCTTCAAAAGCTTTTAAGACTCTTAATTATTTGTGCGGTTGCTGGAGACTAAGATCCCAAACTTTTCCAAATTAAAACATGCACGGGGCTGGGTACAACCTTGTGAGAATGCACAATATAAACACATAGAGCAACAAAGAGAGTATTTTTTTTTAAATAGACCCATTGTCAGCGCTGCTAATATTGAATATTCTTGCTTTGACAAAATATGCAGAACTGTCTGGTACTTTTAGAGTTAATTCAGATGAGAATGAGAGAGGAGAGAAAAGCCCACAGAAGGGAACAGAAGTGAATCTTTGCCCTCCAGGTTAATTGGAAGATGTGAATCATGACCCCAAAATAGGGGAGGGGAAATGCCTGGAATGTTATGTGCAAAGGAAGGGAAATTCAGATCTTGGCATTCTCCATGCCGTGCTGACACTCCTCTACACTAATAAAGGCTTTTTAGGTTAAACCATGCCTGAAAGTTCTTTGAAGTGTTTCATTAGTCAGACACATGACACCCATCATAGCTGTATCTCAGAATTGCAACCTACATCAAGCAAACAGCCCAAGAGGAATCTTATTTGCTGAAAATTATCACCATTTTTATTTTTTTTTAAATTTCTTGATTAAGAGTGCCCAACTCCAAAATTACTCTGGGCAGCTTATAAAACATCAAATATTGCATTTTATTGTCTTCTGCACAGGATTAGAATGGAACATCATATAACGCAACAAAAACAGCACAATAGACCACTGTGTGAGGTCTCACATAAAAACTGAGAAAAACCCATATTGCGATAAGTAACCCGAATGTATTGACCTAATCATATTGCAACACTTGATTATTACTGGATTTGATTATTGCTGGAAAAAATGAATAAAACATTCAATATTTGGTTTCAGTTCTTTTCACCAACAGGAAGTTAGTGCAGCTGCTAAAGGAAACGAGGTCTTGTCAATTTGCAACTTAGAAATTGAAAAGGAAAGATGAACATTTGAAAAGAAATATACCCGTGTTCTCTATCAGATTGTTGTATGAGAGAGAGAGAGAGAGAGAGGAAGAAAGAGAGAGAAAAGAGAGAAGAAAGACGAAGGAAGGAAGGAAGGAAAGAAGGAAGGAAGGAAGGAAGGAGAGGGAGGGAGGGAGGGAGGGAGGAGAAAGAGCAGGCGGAGGAAAGAAAAGGTGAGAGGGAGAAGGAGGAGGACTGTGGGGTCTTTGGTTCTCCCTGCGCTTGGTTGGTTTCTTGCAGACATTTCATGACCCAACTAGATAACATCATCAGTGCTAGTAAGGAGTGGGATTTGCAGAAAGGAGGAGGGAGGAAGGAAGGAAGGAAGGAGGGAGGGAGGGAGGGAGGGAGGGAAGGAAGGAAGGAAGGAAGCTTTATATTTTTCTGCAATTGGCTTCCTCTGTTTTCAGTCTGTTATTTTGACCTTGCGATTACAGGAGCATTAAGCTAGAACAGGTTATATTCCATTACAGAGCAGTCATGTGGAATTTTCAATTTCCTATCAAGCCCATCACACTCCGAACTTTAGGAGGAAAAATGCACTTCCAAAATGACTTATTCAGATCAGTTCTGGTGAAGATAAGAAAACGGATACTTCCAAATATGCCAGCCGTTTGTTTACGAAAGAAACTGTTAGGGGAATTAAAATCAGGACTCACCCTTTGCTGCACTGTTTCTTTACCTTACAGAAGATCTTCTTAGATTTCATCGGCATTGAGATGGTGTTCCATGCAAAAGCTCTGGAGGTTTATTCCCAAGCATTCCAAACTCTGGAAAACTACGATGCGGAGAAAGATTTGGAGGTACCAAGTGATGGGGAAAGACAGAGGCTCAGTTGTGCTGCTTTGTGGGCCTGGGTGTCAGTCCTGCAACAGCACAAAGGTGCCTGCTAAGCTTCCCTTGCCAATATTTGCACAAAAGGAAGCCAAACATTCTGGTTTACATTGATCCTGGTTGGGATTTAAAAACAAAAAACAGTACAGGTAAGTCCTCGACTTACAACAGTTCAAAGTGACCGTTCAAAGTTACAAAGGCACTGAAAAAGTGACTTATGACTGTTTTTCACACTTATGACTTCTTCAGCATCCCTGTGGTCAAGTAATCAAAATTCAGATGCCTGGCAACTGACTCATATTTATGACGGTCGCTGTGTCCCGGGGTCACGTGATCCCCTTTTATGACATTCTGACAAATCAGGACATTGGAGGAAGCCAGATTTACTTAACGATGTGTGACTAACTTAACAGCTGCAAGGCAAAAATCATTTAACAAATGTCCCACTTAACGACAGAAAATATGGACTCAATTGTGGTTGTAAGTCGAGGACTACTGTATGTGGCACCTCTCTAAGAAGATCAGGGGGGTGTATAAAGGCAGATCCCCCCTCATTTTATCTTCAGAAGAACCTAGGAGAGACCTTGAGTGCTTGATCCAAAGTCACCCAGTGGCTCCTTGAAATTAGACCATAGCATCATAGGACTGGAAGGGGTCTCGGTGGTCTTCTACTCCTACCCTCTGCTCAAGCAGGAGACTTTATAGTTATATAGGTTCAAGCGTGTAGTCAATACAGCCAAACTATTAACCTCTACTGGGTGTTTTTTTAACCTTTTATGAACTTCCCAACATATAGATCAGGGCTCTTCAAACTTGGCCCTTTTATGACTTGTGGACTTCAACTCCCAGAATTCCTCAGCCAGCATTCTGGGAGTTGAAGTCCACAAGTCATAAAAGGGCCAAGTTTGAAGAGCCCTGATATAGATCAATGTTTCCCAACCGTGGCCACTCTTAAGTTAGGTGGACTTCAACTCCCAGAATTCCCCAGCCAGTTGGAGGGAACAGTGGGACTGAGCCCTCCAACAGGTCAGCTGGTCTCCTCAAAATGCGATTCTTGCCTCCACAGGATTTCAGAGCAAAAATACAACTTGCTTCCGGAAGGTTCCCCGACTCAAAGCCAGCCACCGCCACCAACCCAGTCTCCAGCCTTCCATGGTCCACGGGAGCACAGGTGAGGAAAAACCTGGCTTAGATGAGGAAGGACTATGGGGAGAGAAAATCCCCAGGAAAGGGCAGACGGACGCATTTTGACATTCAAAGGACAATAAACCAAGAGAGGTTCAAGAAGACTAGTTATTGTGTAGGTAGAGCCTACACACGCTGCCCGGTTCTGTGGGTCACAGGGAAGAAACCCAGAGGGCCAAAATAAACCATGGAAGAAAAGGAGTCAACCATCACCCCAAAGGGCAAGGAACAAGAGCCAGAGCCAGGAAACAAACCATCATCAACAATCTTAGGTTCCACCAAGAAATGCAATCCAAAGAATGAAGAGAGCAGCTCCTATATATGTTTGCTTGGAGCTGGTTTTGGTCTCCGCCCAGCCCCAGCTGCTGCCCTTCAAAGGCCAACTGGCAGGAAGGCCTACTTGGGAGCCCATTGCCTGCTCTTGAGTAGACCCAGAAGAGCCTTTCCTTGCAGCCCAGGCCCCGGAAACTAGCAATTAAAGCTTTCAAGCCAGAACTGCCCCATCCAGATCAAGGGTGGGGTTGGGGTGAGGCTAGTGAAGAAAAATACTTTTGGATTTTTAATTCACTCCGATTCAATTTGGCGGAAGGAATCTTTAGTTTTTCTTTGAAACTCAGTGTGACTCCCCACTCCATGAGATCCCAAGAGAAGCCCTCCTGAGGGGGCTTTTCCTTGGGGGTCTTTTTCCACAGGTGGGGAGGGGGGGAAAGTGGGACTGTTTCACAGCAGTGGGAAGTGGTGCCCGTTGGAAAGCTTCTCCGATGACACCTGAACTCCGAACCTCCACCAAGACAAACCCCAAAGGGGTCCTCAGGGACCAAGAGTGAGGCAGAGCAACAGGCCCCTTTCCCACCGGAGAAGGAAACACCTGAAAAATGGCGGGATTTTAACTTCAGCAACAGCCCAGACTTTGATTTGTGGTTGAGCGAGTGGGCCTGGACCCAAGGTTACAAAAACCAGGTTGTGGGTGGAGGAAAAGAGGCCCCATTTGAGATCTAAGATGGTGGCTTCAAGTCAAGGAGGCAAGTACAGCCAGTCCTCGACTTACAACAGTTCATTTAGTGACCGTTCAAAGTTATGACAGCACTGAAAAAAGCGACTTATGACTGTTTTTTCACACTGACAACCGTTGCAGCATCCCCAGGGTTGCATGATCAAAATTCAGATGCTTGGCAGCTGACTCATATATATGACGGTTGCAGTGTCCCTGGGGGGGGGGTCACGTGATCTCCTTTTGTGACCTCTGACCAGCAAAGTCAATGGGGAAGACAGATTCACTTAATGACCTGGTTACTAACAACTGCAATGGTTTACTTAACAACTGTGGCCAGAAAGGTCGTAAAATGGGGCAAAACAAACGTGTCACTTAACGACATCAATTTTGGGCTCAATTGTGGCCATAGATCAAGGACTCCCTGTATTGCAGGTCAGGAAGCTGACCTCCTGGGGTGATGGAGATACCCAAAACAGCTGTTGACCAACACGGGGTGCCCATAAGATGATGTGTTTGGGGGGGCAGGAATGGCTCCCACGGCCTTGGTGCTGATCATTACAGCAATCGTGGCTTGTGGTCACATAATGCCACTATGGTTCTCTTTGTCCATCTCTAGAGTGTCCCCAGCACGCTCCAGAAACTGACATTTGTGGAGACTGAAGAAGGATCTGAAGAAGAGCAGGCCCAAGAGTTCAGCACCAGTCAGCACCCCCAGATCTGGCAGGTGGCCAGCAGGACCCCCTGATGAATTTCTCCATTCGTGAATTTAGACTTTTTTTTTTGTTCCTCAGCCAACTTTCTTTGCCCCTTTAGGTTTTCCTCCAACTCAATACCATCTCTGTGTTCTGCACCCCCAAACCTGCATCACAATAAAGCCTTTGTTTTCAAGTGCATCCTTTTATTTTCATTTGGGAAATGTACATGGAGGTCACACTTTCAAAAGCTGGTTTTCATACATGTAAGATAGGGGTTTGCAAGCATGCAGGTTTCTAGTCCACTATAGAGCAGGGGTCTCCAAACTGACTTGTGAACTTCAACTCCCAGAATTCCCCAGCCAGCATAACAGCAGTTCAGTCATAAATCATAAAAGTCATAAATCACATTTTTAGTGCCGTTGTAACTTGGAACAGTCACTAAACAGACAGTTGTAATTTGAGGATTCCCTATAATTCTACAGGGAACGTGCTGGGCCTACAATCGGAAGCACATGGCCATCCAAACTTGCAAGCAGAGGCATCAAGTCTTTGAGGGCCCGGGGGGGGGGGAATATACTCCCCCCCACACACATTCTTTCACATGCTTTGTTTGAATGAGAATCCCAGAAATAAGAACCATTCAGACATTTTTCTTCCCTAAAAGATGAAATTTCCCAGGCTGAGAAGTCTGGGATTCTTTCCAAGCACATCGGCAGCCTGGCCCAGCAGGGTCTTCTTCTCTTCCCACGTGGAAGGGCTTGGTGGTGGCTCTCAGATCAGGAACTGTTTTTCCACCAAGGTCTTCTCTGCTAGATTTCGCCTTCCGAGCGTGTCACGCGCCACTTGCACAAGCTGAAACACAGACGGGCCTCCGTTTGTCCTCAATGCAGCAGACCCTCGTCTTCCCTCTCTCCAAGATGGTCAGGAAAAAGCCGATTAAGTCTCGACGAGAACCACCTCGCTAGACTGCTGGCCCTGTTTACCGAGTGCCATGCTAAGCTGGGGTTGGCAGCTCTGTGTCAGTGGGCACGGCTGGCTGGGATGCGTGCCGACTGCACATAAAATCATCTCACAGCTTCCTCAATTCACACATGTCATTTCAGGCCAGATTGCCAGATTCAATCTCACATCTTATTGAAGCCCTTAACACTCCCGGGAGTTGCATTATCACTCACACACACATGGTATTGCAGCTGATCTTCCGATGAATTAAAAGCAAACTTTGGGGGGGCAAACCTTATCTTCCTCATGCTACATCATGTGTAATTTTAAGAAAACAAAGAGAAATGGAATTTTCCTACTATTTCCTCTCTATCTAGAAACTTTTACCTTCTGCACAGCAAAGGTAACAACCGCTGAGAGCACAAAATTCTGTGCCCCCAAATCCACAGCGCAGAACAGGAGGGTTTCAAAGAGAAGGAGCAATAATTCGTGGCCATAGAAGAGCGTCCGGCTGAACAATGCACCGTCATCTGAAGGAGAAAGTCACCAGAGCCAAGGTCAGACTGTCATGGAGGATAATTCTGAGGGTTCAACCTCACTTCCAGGTACAGCCTGAATCGTGGGAGCCAGCGCTTAAGAGCTAGATCCCCATAGGAAGACGCATGGTGGGTACCGTTATAGAGAATCGAGAGGTCTCCCGGCTCCTGAAATTCCAGGTCCATGACCCTCTCCGAGAAAAACTTGTCCTTCACTATGTAGTCCACATCTTTATATCTCTAAAAGGTGGGGACAGAATGAGAAGTGGTTAGAGAAAGGAGCGATTAAAAGGGAAACGGTCCTAGAGAGAGAACAGCTTATTCAGAGTAGACATAATAAGAGCTGTTATATTATGCTTCATTGCACATCAACCAGATGTTTAGATTGGATTTGGCATTTATCCACCCACTGAGTCCTTCCCAAGGATCTGGGATTGGGAGATGTGGTTGTTTGATGGGTTTAAAGGTCTCCCCAGGGGATGTAACATTCCACGTCAAGCTGCCTTTTGCAACTGACTGATGGTGATTTTGTCAATTATTTGGTCAATATGATTATTATTATTCCTTTCTTCTTCCTCAAGGATGTTTCAAAAAGAGTTTGATTCTTCTGGAGTGGGTGGCCGTGATAAATGGGACAAATTAAATTAATAAAATGAACTCTAATACATTTTTAAAAAAAGAATAGAGTTTTGGTGACAAAGAGAATGATAATAAAGTAAAATTCCAACTGGCTGTAACAGGGCAGTTTGCACAATGTCTTTGACACACCTAAGAATCCCGTTGACCATCTTTGGCATCTGTTGACCTGGACTTGACAATGTTCTCCTCAAACCATAGTTAGAGCTCTTTTCTGGCTGCTCAGCTCCAGAGAGCGACAGAGCGAGCAAAGTCCCTGGAAGGAGTTTAGCCAAATGTGGCTGAAGACTCACGTGTTCCAAGAAGGACACCAGGAACCAATTCAGCGCATGGTAGCCTTTCAGCCTCAGCTCGTGAAGATCAGGGCGACTTTGGAGTCCTCTCTGATGCTGCAAGGAGAACATTCATGGACTTTAAAAGTTCAAACCTGCCCCCTGGTAGGCACCGGTGAAAAGGAGGGGGGAAAATGGATTTATTTTACTTGGATCTTCCCTTCGGCAGGAGAAATGTCAGTTCAATTTTCACCTGCCTGTGCTCCAGCTGCAGAGGGAGTTTTCAATTAGAGTTTGAAGTAAAAAGTGAGAAAATAGGATGGCTACACTCAGCCACTGTTCCTTGAAGGAGCTAAACTCAGAAAGTTCAACCAGGGTTCACTTCTAAGAAATAAAAAAAATAACATGGTTTCGTGACACCCAATGAGCTAGATAGATTTATAGGAGCATTTGTTCCCCTGGTCAGCTACTCAAGCTTCAAGAGGTCCTCTTAGGCCACAAACTCTCTGCCACAATAAATCCAGTGTTAAATGCTTCTTTGTTCAGTTGGGAATTGCTATTTTTCTCTCTGATCACCCTTGACAAAAAACATGCCCAAGATTTTTGGCACTTTTTATCATTTTTCTCAGTGGTCTCAGGATCTTTTCATAGCTCTAACTTTCAGCAGTCCCCACCACTGAATGAGGGTGAATGGAGGCATTTCAGAGCTACTGTGCCTTTAGGTAGAAGCTTCCTACTTATTGTTTCAGGCTAGCTGCTCCCTCACCTAAACATGAATAAGTGATTGCTAATTAGCACTACTCTCCCCAGAAGTGCGTCAGAACTGCTTTTGCAACAATTTTGTTTAATATGAAGTATTACAAAGAAGCAGCTTCTAGTCCATATGGTATGGGGTTCGCTTCTAAGCTAAGTTTGAAAGACTCGCTGGCCCTCAGAGATAAAAGGATTATGAGTTCACCAGCACGAGAAAATGTGTGTCATTGCATCATAATGTTTGCGTCTTATGTCCAGGCATAAAACCATGGGCATAACAAAAGGCAGGTGATGTCACAATATTGCAATTCATGTTTCATTAGTGGCATCCACAGCTTCCCCTTGCAGATAGCCAAGGAGAAAAATGTTTTATGTTTCAAGACAGATTTTGTGCACTCAAACAATGTTCACTGGGAATTTCTCGGCCTTTTGGCTAAGATCAACTGTGTGGAATTCCTGCCCCCTCATCTCTGGAGGGTGGCATAGAAGGAAACGGGCCTTATGAGATGGATCACTGAGTCTCTCTGCTGTGAAGGATAGCTAAATCATTCTTAAGGATGCTTGTGCAGCGTTTCTGAAAAGCAATCAAGAAGAAAACATTGCAAGATCTGCTACCTCTGTTAATGAGAGGAGGATTCGGTCATAGAAGGTCCGAGTCCGGTCAGTGAGAAGCACCTCGAAGGTCTGCACCTCAGAGTTAGCCTCCAAACCCCTCAGGGGACAAAGATTGTCCTGGGAAGAAAACCAACAGGAAGGGAAAAGTTACAGTGGAAACACATGAATACAGTAAAGATTTCTATATTTACCATTTCTCTAGTCCTCGCTTCAATTTTGCAGATTTAAATTATGGGACTCTTAAGTTGGAAAATTTTGCTCAGTGAAAGAATCCAGATTAAAGTATCCATAAGAACTGGCTGTTTAGCCTTG